TTTTTAGGATCATTGGGCATTACTCTTGATTTACCCATTTGAACGGGCTCCGGAGTGACAAACACATCGTCGTCACCCGGAGCTTTCTCTTGTTGTTTAGGTCCACTTAAACTGGGAACTTCTCTCGCCTTTTTTAGAGAAGATGGTTCGCAAGCTTCCTCACCCTGCTCCAGCGAAGAGGTTGAACTAGGATTACCAGTTTTCCCCATAGCCGCACCACGATGAAATGGCAGCGATCTAGGGACCGATCCACGTCTCCTGAAAGGATCTTCCTCCTTTCCGTAAGACTTACTTTTTGTTATTTGTTTAGGTTTATTAGTAATAGTTATAAATTTTTCAGTATCATCCATTTTTTTCCCACGAGTATGGTGGGTCTAAAAGTCCACCCAGGCAGAGCCCCCTATACCTGGGTAAAGCGACTTAGATACACCTGGGGTTGCGCCAGGTGCCCCAGGGGAACCGTTTGAGACCGTGCATGTTTACGTCCTCACGGCCACGCATCCATCGACACGGTATCTAACACCTTAAATTAGGACGAGCTCAGGTACCCCGGGTGCGCTAGGCCCGTACTACAGCTGCCAAGACAACTGCAGCTCATGGGGAGAGTAGATAGGGACATTCATTGTAAGGGTGTTGAACCGCTAGAGGAGCAAAACCCCTGCTGCCTGAGCGTGAAAACGCTAAACGCCACAAAACTATCCACTATCTAGCAAAACCCAAGAGACGGGCGATAGAAAAATCCAGCACTCCTGCAGGTGAGTTTGCAGGCTGAGTGATTTAGTCACGACTGGCGCGGAGTTATCCACACCCGCCGCGTCCACGGGGAACCACGGGGAGGCTCACTCAGTGCGTCCCGCCCGGACGCAAATCTGACCCTTTCGAGCGGAGTGATGGGAACGGGGAATCGGTCGTTCCATAGGAATAAATAATGAAATAATAAGCCAGGAGGGATGGGCGAAAGAAAGGCTAAGGTAGCCCCCTCGCTCGCCTGCCCTTTAATCATTTTAAACTTTCGTTCTTCATAAATGCTCTCATGGGATCATTGCCCTTCAGCGAGTTCGCACTTGAGATCGAAGCAGCCAGCAATCTATTCATCGGCCCGTAGGTCTCATTAGTTGGTTAGAGCTCTTGTGCTGCCATTAAGCTCGCATCATCTAAATCAGCGCGACCTATACCGGCCGCTGAGAACACCAGGAATTTTATAACAGCGACCGGATTCTAGTCATCAGCCGTGTCTGATAACGCACAGCCTCCTTGGTAGATCTGTGCCCTCTTACTGCACCATCAACAGTCCTTAGCCTGAAGGCTTCATTTGCTGATATAGAGCTCTCGCACCATCCTCGAGGCCCAATCAATAGTTTTCGTCACTGATAGTCAGACGATTAACCGTCCGCTGCTTGTCGTAACGAGCACGACAGCGGCTGGATTTTAGTCATTAGCTCCACGCCATTGAAGACGCGACTTCCTATATGATTCTGCCGAAAATCAGGAGCTTTCAACTTTCTTAGCCAGCGTTCGACCGAGCGCTCATTCGCCTATTCGGCTACTCAATACAAGCATTGGGCGTAGTCGTGTTCATAGGATCCGCATTGCTGTGGTCGCCTCACGAGCTTACGAGGGAGCTGGGTGCGTTAGCTTCGCCTCTGGTTTTACCCACTAGTTACTAAGCCTCCCCACCACGTCAAGGTGCACCTGTGAGGAGAGTAGATAGAGACATTCATTGTGAAGCAGGGCTGATCAACTCCCGTGTATTTTATATTAACCGTATTTGCAGCGTCGCCTATCTTACCACAGGACCTACAAGAAACTAAAAATTAATATGGCGCCCGATTTAAAATTTACATACAGGCATATATATATATATTATATTAGTTTTTCACAATTTTTTTACACTTATATTTAAATTTTAGGAAAAATACATAAATATTAATATTGTTCAAGTTTAATTATTATTTTTATTAGTAATATATATAAGAAAAATTACTTACAATATTACAATATTAATTACAATATTAATAAATACAGATATTTCTGTCAAATCAAATTCTATTTTAAATCTTGGAATCCTTGATAATCGCTGTAACATCAATATTGAAAAATTATTACACTCAACAAATTGTTCTGAATTAATTTTAATAACAGACTGTAACAAAAATTTATGTCAAATATTGATAAACAGATACTTACAACTTAAACATACTATATTTTGGAGTTTGAAGTACGTTTGTCCCAAATTCTTAATTCAATTCTTAATTCTTAATACAAGAAAAAACATTCAATGTTTTTTAATAAAGTAAAATCAATTCCATGTTACAGTGCATACCCATTCAATGTTTCTTAATACAAGAAAAGAAAACAAATATCATAAAGGTAAATCAATTTCCGCTACAACTTTTGCAACAAAAATGTAATACATTAATTTTAATAATTTAAAATAAAATGTAAAAAAAATTGCAATAAAAAGTGTACAATTATGCTAATTATTCTTACTTTTTTTCTTCTTCTGATATCGCATGGCACATCTTTCTGCTTGATAAATAATAAAATTTTTTTCTACTTCCTTAATGGTTCCATTTAATATTTTATTTATAAAGTTACACCATTGTATTAAATATGTTTGTGTCGTCATATCTAAAATGGTGTTTAAAACGAGAGTACAATGCGTTGCAATCAAGTCTTTCTTTAAAATATTAATTAATTTTTCTTTGATTTTTATTTCGTAGCAGAAGTCTGGCATCCTTTCTTCGTAGAAGTAATATTACTTTGTAATTTTTGTAAAAAATTGTTACTGTTTAATTCTTCTGTATACTTCGCACATTGAATTTTCTTCTGTACTTTATTTATAACTTTTTGTGTGTCAATAAAAATGTTTTGTTTCTTTTCATTAGGTATAATACCTTCTGTACATTCCACTTTTTCAGAATTATTTTCACTTGATATTATTTCGCTTGCACGAAACATATTTATTAATGACATGGATTTACTGTTGTGAATTTCTTTACAATTTGCTGACGGAGAATGTTTTGATGTGATGTTGGCAATTAAAACTCTTAAAGCAGTAGAAAACTGATATGGCGACGGATTATTGTTGCGATGTCCAATATCTCTGACTTGACCAAAAAAATTTTCCAATAAATCTTGATTTATTAATCTTAAATTAAAAGTAGAAAAATTACATTTTTGAAGTTCTTTCCATAAAAGTAATGCACCTTTGATGGTCCAAATCCAATTTTTAATACATTTTGGTGCATTTTTTTTGATCGGTTTATGAGTTTTTTTGTCCACAAATTCCATCTTGCAAAGCATGCGTATAGCCTTTTGCCAAAACACCACGTGGTTACTTTGTTTGCTTATTATACTACTCAGACCTTGCCCTTTCCTTCCATTAAATGAGTCAAATAAATTATCAAAAAAGAAAATAACATCTGCTGTTGCAAGAGTACACTCAGGCAATTTAATAGCGCCTTTAGTTGTCTCAAACACATCTACAATATAATTAATATTTTCATATAAAGTTTTTCATTTCAAAAAAATAGTTATAATCTTTTATCAAATAATGTTATTTATTATCCTGTTTAAAAACATAAAATTTTTTTGAAACTTAATATAAATTATTATTTATTTTTATTTATTATCATTTATAACTTTTATTTATTTATATTATTTTTATTTATTATTATTATATATTATTATTTATTATTTTGCTTACCTTGTTTTAAAAGTCCACAAAATTCAAGAACAGTTGCAATCGTGTGACTTAAAACTTGTACCGCATATTTTACCTTCATTTTAGGAATTAGAGCTGGATAGATGTGTTTATCTACTAATTTTTCCAACAGCCTTCTAGGTTGCCTCCGTGGAGAAAATTTATCTATTTCGTATGCAGCTTGTATTGCCTCCCATGAGGCATACTTTGTCTGTGCACTCAGGCAATTATTGTTATTATTATTGTTTATTTCGTTTTTATCAATAAATGATATATCTTTAAACATAAAATTATATATTACGAATTCCTTTTTGTAAATGCACATAATCAAACAATGGTATAATATTCTGCCCTTTTATCGAAAAAATATTACTTGTTGTTTGTCTGTCATTGTGCGATTTTCTTATTGCCTGATTTTCTAGAAAATAATAATTACAATATTACAATCAATCAATATCAAAAAATTATGTATATGAAATGTATATATATATATATATATATATATATATATAA